TCTCTCTCTCTCTCTCCCTCTCTCTCCCTCTCTCCCCCTGTTTCATTAGTACATGTAGCACTGTGTGTTCAGTAACCTCACTGCAGTTGGTACGAATGAATTTCTATATCTGTCTGTAATTGCTTTTTTTATTGAAATTTACCGTTTTCTGCTTGTCCATAATAGAAATTCCAATATCTGTGGGTGGCTATGGCCATTTAGCATTATTTCCGCTTTTATTTAGAACGTTCGTCTTGTGCAGATATTCACAGTTATTTAGGCCTCTACAATTGTTCTTAATGCCTTTCTGATCAACTTGTTTATTTTTATGGTGTGCCGTCTTTCCAAGTTGATGCCATAACAAGAACTACCAAAATTTATTAAAGTTTCTATTGTGGCGGGGTATAATATCTGAAGGATGGATGGATTCATATTGAAGGACCTAAGTTTCCTCAGAAAGTACAGCCTCTGATTTACCTTTATAACGATATTGACCAAACGCTTTTCGACAATTTGCTCCCTCCCCGCATCCCACCTCCCCACCATTGTCTTGTAGATATTAGGTAATAATAATATGGGTAGATCTACAATGATGTAGTGTGTCACAAGCGAACACAATACAATGTGAAATGTATAATTTCGCTCCCTGCGTGATGCGCTGAATATGAACATTTTAATGATGCTATTATGATTAAGCCTTGGTCAATAGTGGGGCGGTTATTTAGTTCTCAAGTCTAAAAGTGAAAGATCGTAGGGATATAACGCAATTTTTCATGAAGTGATCTGTAAACAAGTACAAGTTCCTAAGGCGCTGAGCAGTCGGTGCCACACATGTTTAACAGAGGCCGTGTAAACCTCGTTGTACCGCCAGTCCCGCTGAACCGCCAACTTCATGCTCGTCCCAAGATAGGCGGTATGACGCGGTTTGACTGTACATTAAGCTCAGCTGGAGCTGTAGATTTTACATGTACATGTAGTTGGTTGCTACTCGTTTTCCCCCGGAGCATGGCAGCCGCGCAAGACAGATCTGGATGAGTTAAGATTTTCCAGTTTCTACCAGTCTGCTACCACTAGATAAGATAGCAACTGGTGCTATCCCGTTATACCACCAGCCTAGTTGTACCTCCAACCTCAAGGTCTGCCCATTGGGGGATCGACAATCTGATCATCCGACTCGTCGCCTGAAAACAAACACGTTTGTTGTTGAGACGACGAGTCGGGCGATCGGTTTGTGCCGTGATAGCCGCTTTGCACCCTCAATCTGGCGAGGAAACCGAACCGACCGTGCCAATGGACACCGTGTATTAAGGTAGAGGATATAACTGGGTTTGACTGTGTTGTGTAGATATTGCATGTAGAGGCATTTACTTGAGAGAAATAGTCTTCGTAGTAACCCTGAGCTCCGGCCACTACCAGGGCCCAGTTCTTGCCGGACTCCGCCCTGACCACTAAGACCACGGCAGCAGGACCTGAGAGAGGACTCCGTGACGTAACGCCATCTTCTCTGTCTTGTATTGAGTAGTTCACCGCTCAGCAATAATTGCTAATGATTATGATATTGTTTGCTTCTCTCTCGCTTGTTTTCCCCCACTACTTATTTATATGAGAATGTTTGTACACTTGAACAATGTAATAAGACGAGGCATACGAGTAGGTGGGTTTTGTTGAATTTTTTAAAAATCGAAATATAATGCACAATGGGCCTCGTGATGTGCAAGTCACTTATCAACTCTATTTTATCCGTGATAGGTCTCGAGTCTCGAGCCTGTTGATTTTCTGCTAAAGTAAGGCACACCTCCAAGCAGATAATTTGCTGATACACCAGGAGTCTGATCATTACGCTACATCTGTCAGTTTTGCTTGTCATCTTACTCCACTCTAAAGGGAGCAAGCTTTTCATCTCACTGGTATTTTTGCTTGAGTTGTATTACTTTTTTTTTGGGGGGGGGGGGTTACTAAGAGTTTTACGGCACATGCAAAACAATAAGGTCATATAGGTTACGAAGATTTGGGGTGTTACAAGAGAGTAATAAACACAAAAAAGAAGGAGAGATCAGGACCATAGATTTCTGATGTTTGTTAGGAAAGAAGGGGCAAACCACACCTGAGCACCCGCGGTATTACTTTGATAATAGTCCAGTAAATCAAGCATTAAAGTAAATCTTGCTTACTCGTAGAAAAGGTCGTGGCGTCGGTTGGTAGACTAGTGGATAGACTATTGGACCTGTCATTGTGAAGTTTTGGGTTTGAAGGTCCGAGAGTCAGGTCAGTCCGACGTTGTGTCCTTGGAAAATGTACTTTACACGATTTTCCTTTGTGGCTCGGTCTTTCCGGAGATGGACGTTAAGCTCGGAGGTTCCGCTTCTTCCAATAATCGAACAGAGTTCATAGAGGGGTTCGTCTGACATGCGAAATCGGCTGGTTCATTTCCTAATTTAACTAGTTAAGGACACAATGATTTATCACTC